GTGTTATTCTGATGGGTCTGCCTTTATAAGTCACTTGGCCTTTTTCCTTTGCTGCTCTTAAAATTCTTTCTTTAGCCTGTAGGTTTAGTTATTTAATTATTACGTGGTGAGGGGACTTTTTTGAGGGTCTAGTGCTGTGGATATCGCTCGATATAAATAAAGCACTGATTGGCCAATGATCAGGCAGGAAGTATAGGCGGGACAAGGAGAGAGGAGAATTGAGGAAGGAGGAAGGGAGGAGAGACCAGCTGGAGCCACCGCCAAGACAAGGAAGATGTAAAGTACTGGTAAGCCACGAGCCGCGTGGCAAAGTAAAGATTAATAGAAATGGGCTAAATATAAGAGTGAGAGCTAGACAATGATAGGCCTGAGCTAATGGCCAAGCAGTTTAAATAATGTAAGAGTCTGTGTGTTTGTTTTATAAGTGGGCTATGGGCCTGGCGGGACTTGGTGGTGGGAGCTGGAGAAAAATTCTCCAGCTACAGTCTAGTTTGTTTGGTGTTCTATAGGCTTCTTGTATTTTCATAGATATTTTTCTTTTCATTTATTTTTCTTTTTTTTTTTTTTTTTTTGGTTTTTCGAGACAGGATTTCTCTGTGTAGCTTTGGGCCTTTCATGGAACTCACTCTGTAGCCCAGGCTGGTCTTGAACTCACAGAGATCTACCTGGCTGTGCCTCCCAAGTGCTGGGATTAAAGGCCCTGGCTGATATTTTTTTCTTTAAGTTGGGAAAGTTTTCTTCTCTGATCTTGTTGAATATATTTTCTGTGCCTTTGAGTTGGTATTCTTCTCCTTGCTCTATCCCTATTATTCTTAGGTTTGACCTTTTCATTGTATCCCCGATTTCCTGGATGTTTTGTGTTATGACTTTTTTGGTTTGGGTATTTTCTTTGACTGACAAATCTATTTCCTCTATAGTATCCTCTACACCAGAGATTCTCTCTTCCATCTCTCGCATTCTGTTGGTTATGCTTGCATTGGTGTTTCCTGTTTATTTACTCAGATCTTCTATTTCCATCATTCCCTCTGTTTGTGTTTTCTTCATTGTTTCTATTTCCCTTTTCAGGTCTTGAACTGTTTTCCTCAAATCTGTTTAATCGCTTTTTTATGTTTTTTGTTGTTATTTTGGCTCTCTTGAACGGCTTTATTGATTTCTTCCAGTTTTTTGTTTGTCTTTTCCTCAATTTCATTTTTCATTTTTTTTGAAAGGCCTCTATCATCATGATGTTATTCTTTTTTTTTTCTTCTTCTTTTTTTTTTTTTTGGTTTTTCCATACAGGGTTTCTCTGTGTAGCTTTGTGCCTTTCCTGCATCTCAATTTATAAACCAGGCTGGCCTCGAATTCACAAAGATGTGCCTGTCTCTGCCTCCCCAGCACTGGGATTAAAGGCGTGCCCTACCACCGCCTGGTTATGATGCTATTCTTAAGGTCACTTTCTTCTGCTTCGTCTATATTGTGATGTTCAGGTCTTGCTGTTGAAGGAGGGCTATGTTCCAGTGATTCCCTATTGTTCTTTATGTTGTTGTATGTATTTTGCATTGACGTCTGCCCATCTCCTCTTCTCTTGGTCCAATTCGGGTTCTTGGTCCAATGAGAACTCTTTGTCTAATGCAAGCAGGTGATTTGGTTTCTGTGCTACAGGAAGGGGCTAGGATCTCAGGTGGATGGATATTTGGCAGGGAATGTAGATTGCAGGGTCTGGTGGGGATTCTTGGTATTGCTTTTACTAATGTTTGCTGAGGTGAGTTCCTGTAAATAGTAGTATTCTAAATGGACAGAAGATTGAATTAACTCTATGGCCAGTATCCACATTCAAATCTCCACAAAAAGATTCCTTAAGTCACAGCTTAGCTGGGTGTGGTAGCTCACACCTTTAATCCTAGAGTCCTACAGATAAGGCTGCTGAAGCAGGAGTTTTAGTTCAAGTCATGCCTAGCATATACAGTAAGAACTTGTCTAAAAAAGAAAAAGTTCTAAAATTCTAATTTTAAAACCATGTTTTCTTGTTTCTAAATATTTTGTGGTGTGCTTATATTTTTACTTTTCCTTTTATAATTTCACAGATAATGGTATCAATCTGTAATTTTATCAAATATCAAAATTAAAAAGGTCTCATTAGTCCTTCAAGAATTTTACAGATTATTTTTATCAGATTTACCTCTACTGCAACTCCTTCCAAATACATCCCCTTTCCCTACCCACTCAACTTTCTGTTCTTAATAAAACAAAATAATGATATTCCCTGAGTTTCGGAGAGGGTATATATGCATTTGATATTTTCTTTTGTTTAAGACTAAGCATAGGGACACCATTTCAGAGCAACACACTTATTCTCAGCAGCTGAACTGGTTATAAGTTAACATCAAAACTACTTCCAGCTGAAAAGAAAATTTTCCCTTATAATGAAGAGGACAGCAACAATAACCCACAGGTGGAAACACAAATGTTTAGAAGGCAACTAGACAGGCACATCCCATTATCTTTTTTTAGACAAATGTCTAGTTCAGCATCCATCTTCTCTCCGAATTCAAGCACATATGACATCCCAGCAAAAGATCTCTTAGATTTCAGCTTCAAGACAAGCTGAGGTGACCTATGATGATAGCCTTTTTATTTCTTCAGAACTCACTCTGCTCTCTCTGTCTCTGAGTCTCTATATCTCTTTATCTCTCTCTGTCCCTGTCTGCCACTGTTTCTGTCTCTCTCTGTAGCTGCCTGGCCTGGAAGTCATTATGCAGACCAGGCTAGCCTTGAACTCACAGATCTCCTGCCTCTAGCCTCCTGACTGCTATGGAATGTTCTATATGGCAAATGTGTTGCTGATTAGTCAATAAATAAAACACTGATTGGCCATTGGCTAGGCAGGAAGTATAGGCGGGACAAGGAGGAGAATAAAGCTGGGAAGGGGAAGGCTGAGAGGGAGAGACACTGCCAGCCGCCACCATGACAAACAGCATATGAAGATGCCGGTAAGCCACGAGCCATGTGGCAAGGTATAGATTAATGGAAATGGATTAATTTAAGCTGTAAGAACAGTTAGCAAGAAGCCTGCCAAGGCCATACAGTTTGTAACCAATATAAGTCTCTGTGTTTACTTGGTTGGGTCTGACGGGCTGTGGGACTGGCAGGTGATAGAGATTTGTCCTGACTGTGGGCCAGGCAGGAAAACTTAAGCTACACCTGACTGTTGGGATTGAAGGTAAGAAGCACCATGCACAGCTTCTGTGAATAGTCCTTTTAATACCCTCACCTATCCTACCCCATAAAAAGCACACTTGCCTTCCTCTGCTCTGCTATCCCTTTTCTCCATACCTTGTTACCTCACAGTATAACATATGACTGCTCTCATTTGATTTAATGACTGCCTCTTGATACCAATGGAGTGTTTGTTATCTAAGAGGGAAAACTTCTCTTTGTTTTGCACATTGCTGGATCCCAACTGTTTAGAACAGCAAAGACATACAGTAGGGGATTAATAAGTACTGAGTGTTTCAGGGCTGCATGACCACTGGGAGGGCACTGTAGATGCTGGTGATTTGTTGGTTTGCTGGTTGATTCCACTAAGTATTGGGCACTGAATGTATACCCAGGCTCTCCTGGGGTCACCAAAAGAAGCCCTCTGTTGGAGGCCCCAATGGAAACTCGAGATTGTGGCTGGCTTTGTGACTGGCTCCTTTGCTATCCAATTTACCTCAGAGGCTCCATGTGATACCAAAAATGGCTCCCAGGTTCTAATCCCTGGAACCTATGACTGTCCTCTTTGGTCTAAAAAGGATTTGTAGGTGTGATTAAATGAAGGGTTTTGAGATGAGATTTTTACTGGATTACCATGGTGTCAAAGTTTGGACATTAAATATCCATACAAACACACATGCATATATGCGGAGGTGCTCTTTATACATGACATGGCAGCTTTAGGAGGTGGGACCTAGCTGGAGGAATAGGGCACTGGAGATGGAGGAAGCTTGAGGTTTAGAGATGAGCTCTGTTTCCTGCCCCCTTTATCCTACCTGGTCCATGGAGATTCTAGTAAACAGTCCTACACTCCTGGAAACAGAGCTTCAAGCCATTCCCGCCTTCCATCACACCCCAGCCTCTTATATTGAATGGTTTCATCTCAAATTGTTAGCAAGGATAAACCTGTCTTCCCTTAAAAAAAATCATTCCATATGTATCACATTATTTCAGTTCCAACAATGTACAGTGACATTAGAGTTCAAAGAATCCTTGGTCCCAGCCTGTCTAGAGTTCAAGTTAACCCCCTAGAGAGCTGGAAATGCTGTGGATGTGAAGCAGTTCAAAACCTGCAACATTTTTCTTATCAGAGACTGGTTTTTTCTATGTAGCCTGGCTCTCCTGGAAGTAACTGTGTGGAACAGTCTGAACTGGACCTAACAGAGATCCACCTGCCTCTGCCTCCCAAGTTCTGGGATTAAAGACTTACTCCTCCACCACCGGGCAATATCTCCAGCATTTCATTCAGATAGTATTGATTGCTTTGCACTTCGATGCCCTGTTATTTTGTTTTATTTCTTGTACGTTCTTGGTGGGAATGAAAATACATCATTTTCTCCTTCTATTCCTTCTTAGGTGTCCTTCATGTAGTCTCTAAAGACCACACTGGGAATCCGGTGCCTGTGGTGTGATGCCTTGTGCAGCCTTGGTGCAGTGGGAAGGGGCTTGGATCTGCCTAGGCTCTGAGTGCTGGGCACTGTTCCCCCACCTTGGAAGACCTTGATTTGAGGGATGTGGGGATGTGGGGTGGCATCGGGGGAAAGGCTGGGGGGTGAAAAAGGGATGAGCAGGCATCTGTGGGTGGTATGTAGAGTGAATAGAAAATTTCATAATAAAGAAAAATGAAAAAAATCACTATGAAAGGAAACGTTCTTTGTGGAATATGTGGACCACAGAATAAACATAACATAGTCGACCATTATTTCCTTTAATAGTATTTTAATATTTAATAGCAATAAATGAGGTAACATTACAGTAGGGAGCACTTAAAAAAAAACAATATGGTGCTGGATTACAATTTCCCCACTGGAGAAGAAAGGGCAGATAGGGTAATTGAAGGTGCAAGGAGGGTACCTGTATATGAGGGAACTCTTTGCAACATTCACAAAACTTAAACATCCATCCTCACAATCAAGGAACACACCAACTCGGCCCAGTGGCTTCTCTATATAGTGCTGGAGTACTGGGCATGTGGTGAGGAGACTGTAATGATTACCCTCCTTCACACACACAAGAAGAAATTCACCCTCAGATTCAATCCGTTGGTCTCTATTCCTTAAGTAGGAATTCTTGCAGACCCCTACAGCCCAGTCCCAAGAGTCCTCCAAATCAACCTCCCAGTAATATTTCCCTGAGATGAAGCTTTGTGATCCCCAAAAAGCCAAATAGCATCCAATAAAATCTGTAGTTGTATCTTTATGGTGAGGTCTGAAGCTCAATCTTCTCATGGCATTAAATAGGTTCATGTTGTAATGCAACATGGTTACGTTATCAAAGAAAATGGTCACTGTGAGAAGAAACAACATTTTAGGTAAAATGACAGTTTACATTCTCAGATGAGAGCAGTCCATAGAATCTTCATGGATTTTAAAAACAGAATGTTAAGACCTGAGATTAAATTTGGCTCAAATACAACAATGTCAAGGATTTCCACAAGAAAAGAGTGGTAGCAGGCTGAAAAGACTTTAAATTACACCTGCCTAAGGGAAGATGTGTGCATTGCAGTAAGGGCCAGAGAAAAGGCTGTGCTCATGGATCTATATGAAAAGTTATTTTTATGTAGATATAAGTAGTGATAACTTTCATATTGGTGTTTTTATTTGCATCTAACTGAGCATATTTGTACTCAAGGAGAATCTAAATATGCTCTAGAAGTGGATCCCTGAATGTATCTCTCCTCCTTTAACCTCTGGATCCTCTGATACTCTTTCTCTGTGAGGTTACAATTCACATTTAGATGTATGAGGGGGATTTAGACACTGCCTCATGTCCTATCAATTTGTTTCATTTTCATTGCTCATGATACATGGCTTTGTCTGTTAAGTTATTTTATGATTTTTTTTTAATGATTTATTTATTATGTATACAGCATGCATAACTGCAGGCCAGAAGAGGGCACCAGATCCCATTACAGATGGTTGTGAGCCACCATGTGGTTGCTGGGAATTGAACTCAGGACTTCTGGAAGAGCAGTCAGTGCTCTTAACCTCTGAGCCATCTCTCCAGCCCCTTATGATTTTTTTTTGTTCCTTTGGTGACAGGGTCTTTCTAGTTGTCCTAGACTGGCATAGAACTCAATATGTTGACCAGACTGTCCTCAAACTCATTGGCAGTCCTCCATACACTAGGTTTTTGATGCTGGGATTACTAGTGTGCACCTCTTTATCTTGTGTATTTTTTAATCTGTGGAGTAAAATGCAATGTAAGAAATTAAATTCTAACACATTGAAAGGAAAATAATCAAATATCTCCATCACCTCCTGCACTTAGTTTGAATTATACTGTCCAGAGTTAAGTAACCATTCTACTAAAGGAATAAATGATAGTCTCTTCTCTGCCACTATTATAAACAACGTGATATTAGTGTGCATTTCTGTTTGTTGGTTTCTTTGTAAGATGACCTTGTGATTCATTAATAATAGAATATGATTTACATAGACATATTTCTGGGGAGTTAAATATTTGTGTTTGCAAAGGATATCTCAATACTGGAGGGTACTTCTCATCATCTTATCAGTGAAGACACTCACCTTGGAACTGGTTGTAACTTTCAGTCAGTCCAGTGATGGGTAAGGCACTGAGTTCTGGCTGAATAGCCTGCGGCATGCTCAGCTGCATTGACCCACTCCTGCAAGGAAAAGAAAATATTGATCTGTGTGGTGCTAAATATATCACACAGTGATTAGGAAAAACTTCATTCCAAGTTCAGCCAAACACCTCAGGTGATACAAGCCTGACAACTTGAGTTCAATCCTTGGAGCCTTGATGGAAGAAGAAGACTGTCTCCTGAAAGTAGTCCTCTGAACTGCACACATGTGCATGTACATGCACACACATTCACACACACACAAAAATAACAAAACAAATAAAAGAATCCCAAAAATATCACACAAAAACAATTGAGTATTTTCTATATAAAAGATATCTGCATTTCCTAAGGCAACTTGGACACTTTTATAGCATATTTTTGGGTATCCTGACTTGCACTGATGGCTAAACTCACCTTCTGAACATATCGTCCAAACCCTGCAAAGAAAACAAAAAAAGCTTAGATATCTGAAGAAATGAAATACAATGTTTGTTTCTAAAGTACATATAAATGTCAGTCACGATCACACCAATCTATCCTGGTAAATTATATTCATGTCTTAAGATGATGCCAACCAAATAGATTAGCAGAACTCGAATTCTTGATGAAATCAGACTAAAGAGTAAAATTTGAGAAGGAATAGGGTATCGACTGTACATTGCTTTTGAACCCCCAAATGTCTATAAGCCATAGGGATACTTTAGCTAAGGATACTTCAAAAGGGTAGCCACTCCCCTGCATGGTGCTTCACATGTGTATTTCGGAATTGCAGGGTTAGAGGCCTGAGCATTACTGTGAGTTGCAAGGTATCATGTACTACCAAATAGGATCCTTTCTCAAAATGCCAACCTCCTAAAGGACTCAAAACACAGTGCTCAAACAGAAGAAACTAAGCCATAGATTACTTTAATATTGTGCACAATATAAAAATAGATGTAAAGAATGTTGGAATCAGAAATCACTGAATTTCAGTTATCAGAAAAGCAAGGCACAAAAGCCAAAAGTTAGGACATAATCCTGGGAGAATCTATGGACATAATTTCAAAAAGCTTCTTCTTTCAAGATTATTACAGAATTTTGTTTCTCCAGAAAATTTCTGAAAAGGAAACTCCCTTAAAAAATGCAGCAAATGTTGAAAGCTACCTAATATAAAAATCACCACTGTGGGCCTCAGACAATAAAGCCTCTTCCTGCACTCCTCCATGCTCACCTGCAGCAGGACCACATATGGCTCCTGGGACATTGCCATCAGCTCCTGGTACATTTCTCTTAGTTCTTTTCTCTTTTGGACCATCATGGCTTCACTTGTCCTGAGTTTCTCTAAAACACATTGGCCTTCATTTCTCATAGACTCAATGTGTTTCTCTTCCTCTTCACAGAGGAGTGGATGCAGTTTCCTATACTCTGTCCTGATCATTTCTTCACGAAAAGTCAGGTAGTCCTGAAGAAAAAGGGACATTCCCAATCATCTTTGCAAAATATCTTGTCCTCCCTCATTCCATCCTCTTATGGTTAAATTCCACATGACTTGTATAACTCTGATGCATATACTGATTGACTCTATCCACACCTCAGAAAATGTAAATGCCTTAGTTTCATTTATAACTTCCTTAATAATTACACAGGCAATCCAACCCTAAGATGCATTTACACCTATATTAGAGGTGCAGAGGTGCCTGAAGAAAGGATTGATCATTCATATGTTCACAAAGATATGAAACTCTGCATGTAGTAATTAGAATTCATGGTGTAGTCATAAAATCTAAAGCAATGTGCAGAACCATCAGCAATTCACTCAGTCCCAGACACTTCAGCCAGAGGCAGACCATTCCTTCTGAGAGCAGAGATATATTATACACTCAGAATTAGAGGTGAGCAGGACACATATTCCAAGTATCATATCCTAGGCCTCATATTTAAATCTTGAATGGCAAATTTTGAAAATATCTGCATCAAGCTGATTTTAAGTATGGTTCTCATACTCACCGTCCAAAGGGTTCTCATTTTGTTCTCTGCCTCTAAATTCTCTTGATTTTCTTGGACCTTCTCCCATAAAGATGCCATTTGCTTCAAAAGTTTATCCTGTAAAAAAAAAACAATGAATATCAATTCTGAAAAATATAACTGATAGACTCTTGGGCAATTAATACAATTATTGTAGTGAGAGTACCAGAATCAAAAATCCTTCATTTTTTTTCTTTCTGTAACTATGAATTTTGAAATAGAACATAGAATTAGAAAAGGCAGCTTATCCTTTTGCTCAGGTATAGTAATGAATAATTTTGACTACATGCTTGACTATACCTGACTCCCATGTACTTTTCCTAATTTAGTCTCCAGTCATAGACATTTTAAAAGATAAGAAGTTAGTGTTGCACTTTCCAGTGACCTGGGCATAATGTATCATAAAGTACAAATGATCTTTACACTCAGGGTACCCTAAAGGATGTTTACAATCCTAGTCACCCTTTCTTCAGTAGATGTTAATAAAGTGCCACCATTCTGAAAACAATGCCTTTGTCATAATGAGAACCAGCATCTTCCTGTGGTTTTCTAAGCCTACCTCTCTCCAGCTTGCAAGTTCTCTCAGAAGCATCACTTACCATTTGATCCTCAGCAGCTGCTTCAATGGGACAGTGTCTGTGTCCTCTGTGCTCATGGGAGTATGAGCGGAGTGGACAGAGAAAGATCCTGTTCTCAGCACAGAAGATCCTCTTAGTATCCTCGTGGGTCACACACTTTTGCTCCTCAGAGCTCAGGTCCTTCATGAGGCTGGCTTGTCTGACAATGGACACCAGCTTCTTCAAAACAATGTTGGTTCTCAAGTCCTTCTGTGATGGTTCCTTACACTTAGGGCATCGGACAGGAGGTTGGATATCTTCCCAGGAAAGGTGGAGGCAGGCTCGACAGAAGCTGTGACCACAGCTTATGGTGACTGGGTCTGTCAGGCACCTCAGGCAGATGAAGCAGGTGAGTTCTTTCTGGAAGGCTTGTGAGATGTCTGACTCCATTTTTCTGAAGGAAGAAAAGCAGAAGAATTGCTATTATTTGACCCCAGAGAAGCCAGAAACAGCACAAAAACTGATGCAAGTTGTGATTTATTTCTGTTTATGGCAAAGCAGGCTTCATTTTCCAGGAACAAAAAATCAAGATAAGTATAGGATTGCAGTTGCTGATCTTTCCTCTTTCACTCTTCTTGACAGAAATATAGATTAATCTGATGTCCTTCGGAGCCATTCCACCTGCATCTTCTTTGGAGACTCCCTTCAAATTGGTGTCTTGGTTGCTGGTCTGAGACATGCTTTCCAAGTGTTTATAAATAAATATACACTAGAGTGATCAAACTCCTTCAAGTCCACGTGTTGGCCTTTCACTACAGACATAGGTAGGTTAAACACACCCTTCTTTGTTGGCTATCCAAGAAAACACTCCCTTTTTCACATGGTCCCTAGTAAATGCTTTGCTTAATTTCTGATTTTAGCATCTTAGTCCTTCACATCCTATTATCACGCCCCTTGACACCTGAAGGCAACATTAGTTACTTGTCTTCTTTCTGATGCAAACAGTTAACAAGAATTAGAATTAGGGGGGTCATAATTCAAGGATATGTCCATCATTGTGGGGAAGAAATGGTGGCAGGACCTTGAGGGAGCTGGTCTCATTGCATCCAAAATCAGCAAGAAGAAAGCAAGGAACACTTGCTGCTCAGCTCCTGTTCCCTTTTCATTAGTTTGAGACCTCAAACCATGAAATGGTCAAGTGATCTCATGAGCATTTAGTGTGGATCTTACCAACTGTAGTGAATCTACCCCTCAATAATCCTTCACAGACATCCCCAGAGGTTTCCATATCTATCCTAAATCCCATCAAGTTCTATTCTAGGGTACTCTCTGTGGAAACTTGTTTATCAAAGATACAGTTCCTGGCTTCAGTTTATGGGATGAACCTTGAGGCATAAATGAGGCTCTCATGACTATAGCAGAATTTCCTATTTAATCAACAGGGGCCCATTGTTCCTTCTCTTTGAAGGTCTACACAAAAAAATAATCTTGGATTGACTGAGATAAACATCCCTCAAATAACTTTAGCTTTTGTGGTCTGAAGCAAATGGACTCCATGGCTTTAGCTGGTGGTCCTATTTACCTCCAAAACAATACTAATACTCATTGTCAAGATTATTTTAGCAAAGAGATGGAGACTCAAATGCTGCCTTCCTTAACTTACCTGATGTCCCCATTTAGTATTTTTTTCCTGTACATTAGATACTTCTTTCCAAAATAATTTATGAATTTACAGAAATAATGAAAACTGAATGCAGAATTAAAAAATTGCACCAGATTATAATTAGTATCTACTTTCCTGAATACAATATTGTGATTAGTTTTCTCTGATTTAATCACATGTATACTTCCAACGTAGCAAATCAACCAATAGCAGGTAGAGCCAGTTTTTCGAAGATGGTAAACTATTATCAAGCGTTATTTCACACTGTGATGTTTTCCTGTAGTTTACAACAACAGGAAAATAATAAAATATTTTCCTTTGCTAAATAATGAGTTTTCACTTTTATACATAATATTCATAGAATGTATATCTAAATACTAGTAATTATCAATCTGTTCAGAGCAATTATTTTTATATATTATACTTGTAAAATTATTTTAGAAGTGTTGATCTCACATCTGTGAACTACATAAAGAAATACTCTATAAATATTCTCAAAATTTAGAGAAAGATCAAAATTGAAAAGCGGAATATCAGAGCAAAGAAAGACTGTGAATGAATAAACTAAAATTATCTATAGCTGTAACTCACAGTATATATACAAAGCAAGATGACCTTATGGGAGCAAAAGCTCTTTCGAAAATAGCCAAATTTTAAACATTTTTAAGCAAAAACCTCAGTTTCATAATAAATTCAAATAGAAAACGACAATGACTTTCAATCTTAAATTGTGCACTCACCCAAGAAATAGTCTCCAGCCTCAGCAGTGTTTTGTGGAGACACAGCAATATTAGTTCAGCTCTGGGGTATGATCCTCAGTATGTGGAGGAGATAGATCTAGCAGTCTAAGAGCCAGAATATATGGAGACTCACTCTGTCTGGTCTAGAGAAGAATGGACCTGGCTGGACCCTGGTGTGTCCTTATATACTCTCTAAAGACCACGCCCACTTCCTCCCGTGTTGCTTTTACTAATGCTTGCTGTAGGTGAGCTTCTGTAAATAGCAGTATTCTAAATGGATGGAAGATTGAATTAACTCTATGGCAAGTATCCACAATCAAAACTACACAACAAGGTTTCCTGAGTTCCTGCTTAGCTGGGTATGGTAGCTCACACCTTTAATCCACAGAGTGCTAGAGAATGGGCTGCTGATGCAGGAGTTTTAGTTCAAGGATATAGAGTGAGAACTTTTCTAAAAAAATAAATAAAGAGAAATTTTGCCCTAATATTTCATGTTTCTAAATATTTTGTGGTGTGCTAATATTTTTGCTTTTCTTTTTGTAATTTTACAGTTAATGATATCAATCTGTGATTTTAGCAAATATCAACATTTTTTCTCAAAATTTTTTTAGAATTTTGTTCAACTCATTTTTATCATATTTACCTCAACTGCAATTTCTTTGAGATTCATCCCTTTCTCTACCCACTCAACTGTCCTTTTCTTTTTTCTTTTTTTAATAAATACTTGGGGAAGCCAGGCAGTGGTGGCACATACCTTCAATCCTAGCATTCTGGAGGCAGATCAGGCAGATCTCTGTGAGCTAGAGGCTAGCCTGATCGACAAAATGAATTCAAAGCTGTGCTCCAACAATCCACAGAGAAACCATGTCTGAATAAAAAAAGATACTTGATTAACTAAAACCCAAGTGTCTCTGATTTTTCTTGTAGGGAATCTTCTTGATTGAATCATTTGAAGTTTAGGTGGGAAGCCCCACCTAAACTCAGATGTTTGAGGTGTAGGAATCCACCTTAAATCTTAACTGATGGCAGCCTATGTAAAAGGACATGGAAGAAGGAAACTCTCACATCTTTGCTCTTTGTTCTTTTGCTCTCACTCTCACTGAAAAGTTCATCCATCACTCGTATAAGAGCCTATTTTAGGGGAGAATTTCTGTAGTGGTATTGTGTTCCCTAAAATATTGTGCACCCTAATAAACTTATCTGGGGTCAGAGACAGAACAGCCACTAGATACAAAGGCTAGAAAATGGTGGCACTCACACCTTTAATCCTAGCATTCCAAGGTAGAAATCCCTCTGGATCTCTGTGAGTTCAAGGCCACGTTGGAAACAGCCAGGTATGGTGACACACACCTTTAATCCCAAGAAGGGAACCTTTAATCCCAGGGAGTGATGGCAAAAACAGAAAGATATATAAGGCGTGAAGACCAGAAACTAGAAGCTTTTAGCTTGTTAAGGTTTCAGGCTTTGGAGCAGCAGTTCAGCTGAGATTCATTTTGGATGAGGACTCAGAGGCTTCCAGTCTGAGGAAACAGGATTAGCTGAGGAACTGGCGAGGTGAGGTGGCTGTGGCCTGTTCTGTCTCTCTGATCTTCCAATGTTCACCCCAATACCTGGCTCAGGTTTGATTTTATTAATAAGAACTTTTAAAATTCATGCTACAGATTTCAAAGTATACTGAAGACTAACTGATACATCCAGCCTTGTAGCTCTCTCTCTCTCTCTCTCTCTCTCTCTCTCTCTCTCTCTCTCTCTCTCTCTCTTTCTCTTTCTCTTTCTCTCTCATGTGCCAATATTCATTTAGTTTTGTTCTTCTACATTCAGGGTGGTTGCTACACTTACCTCTTGGGTTTTAGTTAATTCCACAAGTAGTCAAATTGACAACAAGAAATAGCCATGAGAAGGGCTGACCACTTTGTGTTGGATGATCAGTTAGGGAGCTCATCCCTAATAGAGCCTAATTCTTTGTCTAGGGATGGGACTCTCAAATTTCCCACATTCATATCAACATATTCATTGTTCTGGTCTTGTTTATGCAGCCATTTCTGGGAGAGAATGTTTCACAGCACACTTCCTGGTATTCTGGCTCTCACTGTCTTTCTGTCCCCTCTTCCACAATATTTCTGGAGCCATTAATGTAGGATAGAGGTATCTGTTGGGGTTCAGATCCCCATGATCTCTTGATTTTTACATTCTGTCCAGTTGTGGTATTCTGTGAGTGTCTGCCTGTATTGCTGATCGCTTCCTTTTTATGTTCTTGTAAATAAGCATGACTGGGTTTTTCTTAATTGATCTGAAATCTAATGTATTCTTCACTTTAATAATACAACCAAATCAAGGATAAGTTGTTTCAGGGATTGTGAATTCAAGGCAATGACAGGAACAACTACTAAGAAGACTAAGAAAAAGTGTTTAATATTATTTGCCATGCCAGTTGTCAACATTGAGATGTGTTTAGTATTTAGAGAGCACAAGGAATGATAATGGGTATCTTAACACAGGTTCCAAGGAGTGTGTAAAATATTGGTAAGAAAGATGATAATATTACATGCAACTTACACATTAAGTGCTGGGTGAGGGAACTGGAGTTGGCAGACTGGTGAAGATTTCCTGTATGTAAAGTTTATTTAGACTTCTAGCTATAAATATGGTTCAGATGGGATTATTCCTAACTGGAGTGAGCAGGAATCCTATTGATGGTGTCATGACCTGTGCTATCATTCATACTGTGGCTTCTATGTAGCATCTTCTAGTGTTTGAATTAAAATCACTACAGTAACAGGTGTGACCTGATTGAAGACCAGGAGATGAAGCCTCTTAGTTCCCCTTAGTCAATTTTGTTTACCTCTAAAGTCACAGCCAAATCCTGGAAAGCCTTAAGCCTAGTTGAAGCCATTTAGAATCTGCCTTTGAGAACACTAGGGCAAAAGAAGTTCGATGATTTGGTTCTTTTCAGGAAAACTTGGGATGTGAACTAAGCTTTATGTGGAGCTCCCTGATCCTTATCAGGATGAGGAAGAGAGGCTACAGGATGAAGGCATCCTGAAGTGGAGGTTGATGTGTTTCCTCCCTTGGGAATTCTCTGTTTAGATCTATTCTCCATTTATAACGGGGTTAATTGTTTTCTTGATATTCAGTCTTTTTAGTTCTCT